TAAAATTTGAAACTGTAATTTATACGGTTTTGGTTAAACGATATTTTTATATATAAATAACAAAAAAAAAAAATTACCTGGAAAAATATTACTAATATTAAAAAAAAAACACGTGGTCATTTGTTCGAGTCACTGTATATAAAATAACGGTTGCTTTTGAATCAAAAAAAGTCAAGTGCTTCACGTTAAAGTCACCAAAAATCATATTATTCGCTTACACAATGCAAATAATTTGTAACAGTGATAGTTTTAAGAATTTCCAGTAAGTATTCAACAAGAAAAAACTTTGTTCAAAATCTTGGGTTTTAATAAACGCTGAAGCTAATTTATGAATGTAGTAGATGTTTTTAAATGCTTTTAAGCCTTTTCAAGTAAGTAATCTACCGAACATTGAATTTCGAAAAAATATTACATATATAGATATTTATATTAAGGTAACTAAGTACATGAATGTTACCTCTTTACTACTGAAATATAGTATGGTTTGAATCCTTAGGGAATTTTGTGGGAGAAATTTTTGAGATAAGAGGTAATTGAGGGATTTAGGGTAATTTATTAGAGAATGTCTGACATCACTGACTCTAGTGTATAATAAAAGCACCAAATTTTTTATAATACTGCACTTTTTCAAATTTCTTCCAACAGCAGTTTTTCCTTAGCCAGCAGCCTAACACACTGCCGCACAAGCCTTTGGTGCAGAGTCATTAAGTGGTGGGAATCATTAGTAGAATATCGATAGCGTGTTGCCTGCCAATCTGCTTAGTTGTTGCTGCTGTGCGGAGGTGCTGCTGTTGGCGTTTTTCTACACTTTTCTCTTTCTAATTTTGTATTTCTCTAATTATAAAAAACAAAATCATTAATTTATACATTCCGCAAAGAACATTTTACGCTTTTATAAAACGGTGTTTATTTGTGCAAGAAATAACAATGCATACACATTTATATTAAGCGTATATATTGAGTAGAAAAATAAACACATCGTTCTATACAATTGAAAATACCGGCACATTTTACGTTTCGCCTTACTTTTTTTTTATCAAAATACTAAGTTCCACTGGTTCTTCGCACGGCATCCTAAGGCATGCAATCCAAATAGATAACAGGCTTCATTAAAAAATGTCCAAGGCTAGTCGTGAGTCGTAAGGACCTCTATGCGATTCTTGGATACTGGGGAATAGGAGTGATCGATCTGATATAATAAGATAAGATAAGAGAAGTAAATACTAAGTGAGTCCGTCCAGAGATTCTGTCACTTGGTAAAGGCGGCCGCTGTGGTTGAGTGCTTAGAGGTGCGGACTACCGCTCCGTAGGATCTGTGTTCGAACCATGATCAGAGCTATGTTGCCAGATTCACAGTTTTAACTGTAAATTACACTTTTTGATGTGTATACATCTTTGGTTTCCGATGACAATGCAATACGAAAGATGAGCTAATCCGATAGGTGGTGCAAGAGTCGAGATATTTGAAAAACCCGTATTTATAGTCCGATTTGGTTCATATTTAGAAAGCTTGCTTTAAAAATATTTGTTTTTATTATTAACTTATTTATCTTTAATTAAATTAAAAATCTTAAAATTTTTAAAAACTCGTTTTCCCTTTATAGCTTACAGTTTTTTGGTCCAAATTCCTTTTTTCGAAATTTACAGTTTTTTGAAAAAAAAAAATCTGACAACACAAGAACAAGCAAAAGAGTTTTTTCTAACAACGGTCACCGCTCGGCAAGAGTGTATTTCCGCCATGGAATTGTAAATAAAGGCATTAGTTAGAAATGAAATTACGATTAAAATTGGAATCAATTTAACAAGTCTTCATGAAATAATTTTTCTCCATTTTTTTCATTTCTGGTACTAAATAATTTATATGAGCAAAATGAAAAATCAATGACTATTATAGCACAACTTTTGTGCGTACAATGCCTTTAACTGATCTTAAAATATTTTGCAATTTTCGGGGTTTTTTTTTAAAGATATGAATTTTTGAACTTAAAAAAAAAAAAACTTTCCCAAATATAAATATATAAAAAAGGCTTAACATACATAACTTTATTTAGAGTTTGCAGAAAAATGATTTTTCAATAACTCATTGGTTTGAAAATTTCAGGGTCTTTTAAGAGCATTTGGAGTGTTGCATAAAGAAATTGGGCAAAATTTTTTTCGGTTTTTGCTTTTACGATTTTTTAATTTCAAAACCATTTTTCAAATATAGTACCTTTTGAGATATCAAAAAAAAAAACTTGAAAAATATCAGAAATTATGAAATTTAGAATTTTGCTTAACTTTTGAAAAAAGAAATTTTTATGCTTTTCTTTTAGTATAACTTATAAAATTATTAGATCACATTCTTAAAAAAAAATGCGTTGGAGATCAAAGCTACGAGTAAGTGGATATTACAGACGTGTAAAAAAAAATTTTGCGATTCTGCTTTGGCGATTAAATAATTTTTTTGGTACCTAAAGCTTAGTATCGAGCTCTAAAGAAAAGCGAAAACTCCATATAAAATGACGCACAAGATATTGTTAAGGAATTTTCTTGTGTCAAATTTGCTTATGGCAGTACGCAGCTCATAAGAACTTCGCAACGCTTTCTACTACGGTTTTCTACAGGTTTTTGTGAAATAAGAGCACAAGGCAACCCATGTTTGGAAGTCAGATGTCAAAATTCCTTGGACGCACACATGAAATAATGGTCTTTAGAGCTGGATACTAAGCTTAATCAATTATTAGATTTTTCTTAAATCTTAATTTAAATAAGCCTGCGATATCAAATCACGCACAAATGCAATTCCATACATTTTTATTTTCTTTTGAATGATTCGCATCCATTATGAATGCCAAATTTGAAAGAAAAAAAGTTTTATCAGCCTTATAAAAGCCTGAAGTGTTATTGTTGAAAGTGATTGCAGATATGGTATGCATGTACATACTATGTCCATTTGTATTTAAATACAGGGGCAAAAATTTAAATAGGGAATAGAAATTTTAGCATTCTTTGGCTATTTCCCTTGTGTGTGAAAGTGTAGCTCGTTATCTAACAAAAACCACTAGCAAAAAAAACTAGCAAAATCTGACAAAATTTTGCGCTTTTCATTAGATTTCGGAAAAACATTCTGTTTAGTAAAAATAGTACAAATTTTAAGTAGCTAGGACTTACCGTTAATTTTTGGCATTTTTCTCAAAATTTAAAATTTTTTTAAATAAAAATTTCTAACTTGATAGAACATTAATCAAAACTCAAAAAATTTTTACAAAGGTTAGTAATTTTAAATTGAATTTTAGTAGAACAATTTTTAAGTAGCTAGGATTTACCGGTGATTTTTGGCAATTTTTTTGTGAAGGGTGTTACTCATTTTCTCCATACAAAAAAATTGTCGAACATATTTTGTATGAAAGAAAATGCCAGAACAAAAAATTCCCAAAAATCAACAGTAAGTCCTCGTCACTTCAAACCTACACTTTATACACTAAAATTCAATGGCCTCAAAAATGCATACTAAAAGAAAATTTGATTAAAAATTTTAAATTTTGATCAACATTTGTTGAAATTTTTCGAATTTTTATAAATGTTCTACAAAGTTTGAAATTTTGATTTACATGTTAGACAGTAAGCTATATGTTCTTAAAAAATATAATAAACACTTTTCAAACTATTTTTTAAACAAAAAAAAATCGCCAAAACTTGTCAAAATGTCTTTTCGCTATTAACATTCCCGCAACCGTATGTGTATATATTTAACGCCTGCATCAGAACGCTAATCAAATTGCTTACGCGCAGCAATTAAAGTACGCTCATCAGCGTCATGTGCCTTTTATAAGGCCACACATCATTTGCCGATAAGCAGAAAATATTTTTTTAAGTACCAACCAATTGTATAACGACAGCTAAAAAAGATTCACACATTATATCGCTTTTCTAATTAGATGGGTATGTATGTTCATATGTAGTATATGGTATGTTGTATGTTCGGGTAAAGAGTCTTTGGCTATAGCCCGATAATTAGCAACGTAAAATTTACTCGGAAGTCACGTGTGATAATCCATCATTTTTTCAGGCATTAACCCTTTCATGTCCAAATCTCGGCGTTTGAATCATTTTTTCTAAAGAGTTGTTTTAAATGAGAAAATTTGGAATGGTGTGAAGGCAAAAAGCTGAATTTGATGCCATAATCATTTAACCAATAAGTTGTTAGCGTATATTCTGTCTTTTCGTAGTGACCAATCGTGCGCAACATAAATATTGCTGAAAATGGTTCTGCAAAATTATAAAAAATATACATAATAAATTATATTTTTTCATAAACAAAAGCGTTTAGGTTATAAAATTTATTGAAGCACATCACATCAAACATCAAATTTCAAAAGTAGTTTTAAGTTTTTGTTAGAAAACTTTTTAAACATTTCTAAACAACATTTCATATTGGTCTAACTAGAAATCATAGGTCTTTAAGATTTATACCAGTTAATGTCTGAGGACCAACAATAATATGACATCAAAAAAATTCTGTGGACTTGGACAAAACAACATCTGTGCTTTCTGTAGGTTGGAATTTAGAATAAATTATAAGGAACTTCCATTTAAAAATCTGACACTTTTATTTAACTTACTCCTGTTAATGACTAAGCATAAAAATATCATTCGACAACTCATTTAATTACAGCTTTGAATAGAAAATGACCTCACTCGAGAGAAGTTGCTTTGTCAAAAGTCCACAGAATTTATCCGCATCCAATTTAATTCGGGCATGAGAGGGTTAAGTATAATTTGATTACTACACACACATACTAGATACTCAATTACTGTACGTATGTACATAAGTACATTGTATGTTCATATGTGCATAGTGTGATAGCGTCAACACATTTGCCGCTAATATTTAGTAAACACTTTTGATAATTTTTGTTTTTGTTTACTATATACATATGTATTTATAATAATTTGTAATCAATTGCCTGATTAATATATTTCTAATTTTTTTCCTATTTTACATTTTATTTTCTCTACAGTTGAGGATGCAAAAAAGTATGCCATAAAACTACGTCAAAAATCGTTAATCGCCGGCGATACAACCGACGCTTCAACGTCGGCGGCGGAGGCTTCTACGCTATGGTCCAATTCGGCGTCACATTTTCTACCCAGTAGTAATGGCGTTAACGGTAGCGACGTCAATAGCAATGAACGCGATCCGAGTATGACCATATTGACCCGGGACGATGTGATACTCGCCCAGAAAGGACTACCACCACAACAGTATGACGCATTCGTGTTATTCGCTGATGCGGATATCGAACAAGCTGCTGAGATACAAACCAAATTCGAGGAGAATGAGAAATATAATTTTAAGGTATTGATTGCATGCAAAAAGTATATTTACATAGTTGTAAATTATTTGATCAGCACTTATTTAATACTTTACCGTTGTTTACACCCACAGTTATGCTTCAAAAATCGTGATCTTCTCGGCGGTGTACCGTTCACGCATGTTGCATTGACGCAACTGATCGAGGAGCGTTGCCGCTATTTACTTGTGATCTTGACAAAAGAGTTCCTCGACAGTCCAGAGAATCAATTTTTAATGAATTACACACATGCATTGCAAATACGTCAGTACTTATACTTCATGCTGCTATTTGTCATTAAAATTGCAACTTTAATACTTTCCGTTACCTTTAATTTTTCAGAGAATAATACGCGTAAAATCATACCGCTCATCTATGAGGATTCAGTTATTATACCACGTGCCTTAAAAATATACACACACCTTAAGTACAATCCTGTACCCACAACGCTATTCGACTTTTGGGCGCGTCTAGGTGATTCAATTCGACGCGCTTACAATGCAGCGGATCCGTCACCATTTGGCCTAACCGAAGTTGACAAGTAAGTTTAAAAGGCGACTAATGGAGTTTTCTTAACGTTAGTTAGCTTGGGTTGGGTTGAGCTAAGAAAGTGTGTAGGTAGCTATCATACTTCCACTCGGAGAAAAGTTTGCCCATTGTGAATGTCCTGTATGACTGTCACGCAGGCACATCCCTCTAACGGGGATTATTCTAAAGCGTCACTATAGTGTCTGTTAAACCATTTACTGACACGAATGAAATTGTGCCGGTTCGAAAGTCTTACTTCCTCTATCCCCACCAAGATGTTGGTCTGAATAGCTGGACACTGACATAGGAAATGTTGAATCGTACCCTCTTCTTCCTCATACCGACAACTTCTGCAGTGAGGTCTTGTTGGTATCCGCCATGGGCTATTTCGTTCCCTTCGATATTGCTATGCCAAAGAATCCATCGCAAGCAATTTATTTAATAGACTAGCAGACCCGGCGAGCTTCGTCCGGCCCAAAATTAATTTTTTTATTGAAACATTTGGAGCAACGTTCGCCAGCAATTCACGTTCACGTTTGGTTTTGTGGTCGACAGAAGGCATATCCTTTATTGCCGTCTTAAATAACCTGACGAAAGCGTTATACCGGGAAGAAGTCTTTGCGGCTCGATGGTGAATCGTCCTTGAATCTGTATAGCATAGTTGGTGGCAATTTCCAAACTGGTGAGTATCATTGGTCCACATTTTGTTTAATCACCGTAAAGCTCGGACCGCAATGGTTCTGATGGTTGATTTAATGGGAGTAATTTGACTTTGATCCCTGGTACCTCCGAATTGACGATTTTTAGCAATAACTCGGCTTCAGCACCACCTTGCGTATCTTTTTTGCAATAGTATTGCCCCTATCGTTACCAGTACATATGTATATATCTCGAATATGAGTCAAATCAGATCACAAATACGATTTTTAGTAATAACCCGACTCCAGCGCCACCTGGCAGTTTAAGTTGTGAACTTAAACTATACAGGGACCTACTCAAACACATAACAAAAAGTTCATTAAACCCGTTTCGATCGTTTATTAGGAGTTCACCCACCAGAATAAGTATTTTACATACTGACACTCTTCGGCATTTTTCCCAAACAAAAAAAAACTATCACGCATTCGTTATACGGAGAAAATGCGCAACATCATCAGCGAAAAAGTTCTTAAAAATCAATGCTAACTTATAGCTATTTAAAACTTTCACTTTATGATACTGAAATTGAGTCAACTACAAAAGTGCATACTCAAAAATTGGTGCCATTTGATGCAAAATGAACTATATTTCTATAGAAAATTAACAAAAAAAAATGTATTATGAAAAAGAAAAAAAAACACTGTATTCTGGGTGTATGTACTTAGAGATCATGATTCAATAATAAAATGTTTGCGCTCCCTCTTGACAAAATCGGCTCCCCTAGCAAAGCATTATGTGTGGGTCCGTGTGTGTGTGCAAAGCTTTTGTAAGGGAGCTAAGGGAGTGTCAAAACTCGAATGTCAATAATGAGCAAACCTTTAATTATTGAATCATGTTAGAGATAGGTAAAAGTTTCAATATTTTTTTAAATCGCCACGCCCCCTTTCCAACAGCCCCGAAATCTATATACCGATTTCCAGGACACTACCACAAATACTTCCAGAGATATACGGTATGAAAAATTCGATATGTATGGGTGATGCCACGCTTCCTTAATATATCGAAAGTCTGCAGTAGGTGTCCAACATTTCATAAAAATCGGTACAGCCGTTCTACCACCTTTTGTTTCCTTGCTAGAGGTTCTCAAATATTGCAAAAAACGCGGTTTTTTTACACTTTGACCTCGTTTTTCTTAAATCTGGAGCTGATAGAAACTCTATGCTTACGGATTCGTAATCAGCACAAAAAAAAAACTGTCAAAAATATCGTTAACATTTGCTGCATGGTATTTTTTTCCATTTTAGTTGGTAATAAGTATTGTTAAATAGCCAATACCCGCATGTTTGCGGTGCCTTTAAACACCTTTCGAATTGTAAAACAATGGCTCAATTATATTTTCCGCATATCTATAATGCGGGCATCGAATTTCAAACAAATCGGACCATAAATCAGATTTTTTGTAAGAGATCGGCCCTGGTCCACCTATCAGAAGAAAGTATCCTGTATGTTAATCCTGGCAATAAGCTACCTACATGCCAAATTTCAGCAAGTCGCACCATAAATAAGATTTTTTCCAATAGATCGGTATCTGATCCACCTATCAGAAAAAATATCCTATATGTTAACCCAGATCGGTCCCTGGTCCACCTCTCAGGCAATAAGCTATATACTTGCCAAATTTCAAGCAAGTGGCACCATAAATACTATTGTTTCGAATAGATCGGTCCCTGGCCCACTTCCCGGAAAAAAAGCACTCTATGTGCTAATCTAGGCAAAAAGCTACCTAGGTACCAAATTTTAAGCAAATCGGACCATAAATACGATTTTTTCGAATAGAACAGTCCCTGGTCCACTTCCCGGAAAAAAGGATCCCTTATGCTAACATAGGCAAAAAGCTACCTACGTACCAAATTTTAAGCAAATCGGACGATAAATGCGATTTTTTAGAATAGATCGGTCCCTGGTCCACTTCCCAAAAAAAAAGCTTTCTATGTGCTAATCTAGGCAAAAAGCTACCTAGGCACCAACTTTTAAGCAAATCGGACCATAAATACGATTTTTTCGAATAGATCGGTCCCAGGTCCACCGGAGGGTTTTCCCAAAATTTTCTTTCGTAAAAACTTTCTCCTGGCAATTACGAACAACTGAAAAAAAACTTAGCCAAATCGGCCCAACCGTTCTCGATTGATGAATTACTATACATTTTTCACACCATTTTTATATATATAGATTACACAAGGCAATAAATTATACAAGTGTTAATAATATAAGTTATTAAATGTCATACTTTTTTCACTAAAAGCATTAAAATAATAATTAATATTGAGCCAAAATAAAACATTCAAAGGCATTTCACAAACAAACAAAAAATGGTATACATAAATACCATTATTATCTCCACCACCGATAAATTTAGCGAAACTAACATTAGCTGTACCCAAATTACTAAATATTTACTCATTGCTCTAATCACTCACTAAATATAGCCATAGCCTTTCTTCATTATCTTTATTAATTTTCATTTCTTTCCATTCACTCCACAGCCTGCCCGCCACTAGGCAGCTATCTTCTGACACGAGCTATTCAAGTTTACCAAGCCCCCGCACAACAGTAACTACACCCACCTCACCAATACCGAGCATCAACATTAACGGTCATGCCTACACGCCCGACGAGGAGAAGGAGGATGTATTTCAGCAGAAGGAGCAACGTTATCATTTTACCAAGCGCTCTTCACTGCGTCATCACAACAGTGTCTACAGTCACAATCACCACAATAATCGCATTAGTCAACTCACCAACGGTTATGGGTTGCGAAACGCGCACTCCACCAGTCAGCTAAATGCAGGCGTTACCGTTGACAATAGTGTCAGCATGAGTGATCTCAGCATAAGTAATGAGGCGGCGAAGAAGAAGAAAAAGAAGCCTATTAAAGCTGTGCTCAAGCGGGTCTTTAGCCGCAGTAGTCCGAAGCTGCAGGAAACAGCAGAATAGTATTTTGTTTTTTTTTTTTTAATGTAAAAATAGTTTTTTAATTATACATTATTTTTAGAAAACAACATAGATCATATTTATAAATGCTATATATTTTTTGTGTGGCAAAACCAATGGATAAGAAAAAAATTGTAAATGTAGGTCTGTTATACGGTATTGTATATTATTTATTATTCTAATTTAATTATGCGAATGTTGTTGTTGTCTGCAAAATTAAAACACACACCCAATACCTACAAAACAGATTAAAATTTGATTATTTAAAAGCTTTCTACCCGTTTAATGCACACGCACAATTCTTCCTTTTATGTTTTTTACCAAACTCTGTATGTATTTTTGTCCGTTTTTTTTTTTTGTTTTATTTGTAAACTATATATATTTTTTTAACTGTTGTGGTTTATTGTAAATTCATGTTTTGCCAGCAGCTATTTTCCATAAGACCTTGAAAATATTTTAATTATAATTAAGCTTTCCAGTGCTCACTACATTATTCCTTGGTAACTTTTGCATTTCTGCTTTTACGTTCACAAATATGCTCATTCATGCTTACATACATATATACTTGCATCGCCATTCACCAATCAACTTATTGTAATACTTGCATACATATCTGATATTTGAATTTATGAAACACAGCAAACCTAGTTGCACAAATCTGTGTCTTTACAATGACTATTTTAACTGTTAAATGAACTATTTGAATATGCCAAACATGTTAGTAAGCCGTAAAGTGCTTTATGAATCAATTAAGAGTTATATATATATACGTTTACATATTCATAAATAATGTACTACTTTAAGAAAACGAATAAAGACAATATAAAATGCAAACTCAACGAAAAACACCACTCCAATTATGATTCATATACACAAATATAAGTTGGAAGCAAACAATGCAATCGATTGTTTTCCAGAACGCAACGAAATTTTTTATAATTATAGTAAGTATATTGATTTTCATGAATGAAAACGCAGAAATGCACTTACACTGGGAGAAAAATACTGTATTTGAATACAATTGATTTTATACATTAAGTACATTAATTAAAAGTGTGCGTGCGAAAAAATATAATTAGAAACACATAAATTAATTACTTGGCCAAATGATTAATACGAATTATAATTCGATTCTCATACAACCTTTCAAAAATTCCCGTGCATGCCTTTGTTGTTGTAACAACAGTATTGAAGATTTTATACTTGTAGAGGAGCAATCGGCCAAAAATGTGATATGTCCCTGAAAATAGTGGATATACACCATTGTGGTGAGGCCTATATTTATCTACGGGGTAGCGGTATGGCGACGAACTCTAATCAAATACTATGAAATTCAAAAAGCGAAGAGGAAAGCTTGGGTACCGTAGCACAGTGACAAACCAGAAAATGTGTAGGCCGATGAGCTTCAGCTGCCTGGAAGGTGTGCCACTCGCTTCATGTAAGCTCTTAATGAGGCAACTTTTTATTGGAAAAGCGGGTACTAAATGGGAACGCGCTGAAATCTGCAATACAACGAAGTTTACGTGGTCTAAATTGAACATACATAAGGAGATCAGGAGATATTCTCACTTTCAATAGAGGCGATATGTCATTGCTTAGGATCGTAGACTTCGCGGACTGGTTTAATAAGGAGCAGGCGTTTTGGATCCATATAGTATCACAATGGTCCCCTGACTGTGCCTAGGTGTGCTGTCTTCCTCAAAGTTCAGCAGCCATTTCAACTTAACTGAACCTAACATAACAAGAGTGACTGTTCTTACTCAGAGTTTTAGGGAATGTTGCTGGAGCGCCATTCCTTCGCCAGATAAAAATATTCCGTCGCTTCAGTTACGTATATCCGACAGAGCTGTTTATTGTACACAAATTTCGTCCAAATTAAAGTTTCTTAAAAAGAATTTAAAGCGGAATGTAAGCCAAAATCATATTGCTGGTCTGCCTGTACGTAGACACGATTAAAGAAGCCTCTAGACACCATATATTTTGAGTCAAGTTTTTGAAATGAGACTGCTTACCCTAACTTATAACTAATAACGACAAGAATAGCACAAGTATGTATAACTTTTTTTATTGTGTGCTTGCATAAGTATCTGCTGGCTGATTCTTACGATTCTGGCCTTCTACAATTTCATTACTTTTTATTAAATGCATTTGGGGAGTAGTTTTTTTTTTAAGATATTCCTGATATTGTGTTACAGCTACTTTTTCCTTGACTTGAGCTCATCAACGGATATAAATACATTCTTTGGAGCACTTCCGGAAAGATAGTCAGCTTATCCACACGGTTCTGACTGTAATTTTTTAGTTTTACTCAAGATAAAGATTAAATATCTTAGCGCGGTGATACAAAAATATAATATATGTATTGTTTTTTTCGGTGATTAACTCTTTACTAGCGAAAATTTGAAATGCGAGCAACAAAACTGATTGCAATTTTGTGATCAGTGCCGGAAGCTGAATTCGCCGCAAGGGATACTATCGATTTGATGTACACATCCTTGTATCAAAGGCGTGTTATTTAATTAATTGCAAAAGGGGCTTTCGGATATGCATCATGCGGTGTTTAAAACCTCTTCACCGATCGGCGGCAAATGCGCAAAGTGATGGCAACGTTTGTCTTGGTTTGTATACCAGCTGAAACATTGTGCTGCCACCTAGCGGGTAATAGTGGAAAATGGTGTTTTGAAATATTTCTACGGATGTGCTTTTAATTCTTAGTCGTGCTGTTTACAAATTATCCAGTAATTTGCCTGCAACTCTCCAGTAACTTAATTTCTGAGAATGCGCTCAAAGAGAACAATTATCCAAAAAAGTACGCGAACGCAAATCCAGCAATAATTTGCAAGTTTCATAAACAGCTGATAAATGGGCTGTTTATTCGCAGCGAATTCCTAATAAATCAACATATTTTATTTTTAATAAGGTTTATTTTGTCAATTTCAACAATAAAAAACCTCAAACAGTTTCCTCATTAGTTTAAATTGCATCCAGCAACATGTGATCAGCTGTTTTTCGTACTGGCAAATTGTTACAAGTAAAAATGTATCCAGTAAAAACCTACAACTTCAGCTGTCATTTTCGCTGTCTCAATTTACCCTACCTTGCAAGTTTTTGCGTACGAAAACGCCAAAAAAATTAAAATTCGTAAAAATTTTTACTGGATTTTACTGGAAATGGGTAAACAAACATTATTTATTATTATCTGTGCTACCAATCCTATGCATCAATCGGTAGAATACAAACTTAAAATCTTATTCGCGCCAGCAGGAAGCAAGGTGAAATCGTTATTAGTTAATTTTCTATATCCTTAACATATAATAATTATTAATGCAAACGTTAGATCTACAAAGGGGAAAAACGTCAAATCAATGGGTCGTTTGAAGGAAATTCCCCCGTATACATAACTGGCGTTGGCAACATTGGTGCCGGTAAATTATCGAATTTACTTTTCGGTCTAAAATTCGCATTTATTTTACCATACGCAGTACTTATTTTTGAACATAATCAATCCTTTTGTATTGCAACTGGTTCCCATAATTTAATTGTTAATAAAATCGGAAAATCATTAGAGCGTGAAATCCGAATGATCACAAAACTTTTGTCGTTTTCACCAACTACCTGTCGGATAAATGCTACAGTAAAACACTTTTCCAAAGAGCGCAAACAGCTGGATTACCGCTGCGGTCGGCGAGGATTTGGAAGCAGGTAAAACTTATTTGCTCAAAAGTTACAATGATCGAAGGTGCTAATTTGAATAACAGTTTCCATCTGCCAACGTGGACGGCGTATTCTGTATACCTTCGATTCCTGGCCCATATTCTTGATAGTTTCTAACCATGGTGCTGGACACTAGTGCGGATAACGCGTTTCCTTTTTCCATGAATGTGCCGGCATTCAACTGTAGTGAGGAAGCACGTCTGCTTACCGAGACTCCTCTTACTGAGCTGAGTTCTGAGACACGCATTAAACTCTCAGAAATGCTAAACGCTCGGAAAATTTTAAGGTATGCAGGACACGATCGCGATTGGCGTGGCATAGCTGAGATGGCAAAAATACGTAACTTTTGCAATACAAACTCGGATGACCCCATGCAGACGGTGCTTAGCCAATGGTGTCAACGGAATGCAAGCGAAGCAACTTGTTTTCATTTACTGCACTTTTTATCCAAAATAGACCGTTGGGATGTGAGCGATGATATTTTTAATTTCCTGAGTAAGTAAAGTCAAAAATTTAGTACCAGTGTGACGACATTACAGTTTTTACAAGCTTTTTTATCACTGCATTTAGTTAAAGACGCTCGCTTGTACGAGATTAAAAGATTATATACGAATGCAACAGGTGGTGCAAACGATGAAAATATTACAATTGCTGGAAATGAAGAAGCTAACAATAGGAACTATGACCATGATAATGAAACAGATGAGGGTGACGACGACAATGGCACGGATAACGATGCAAACACTGATGGCGGCTCAAGTTCCTCACTAAGTCCACCATCAAGTCGTCCGCCAAGCCCTCCAAATTTGGAGTCTTTAATTGAACGTGTTGAGGTTTTAGCAAATGCGAATAATGCTAGAGCACGAATACCTACGCCAACACCTGACCCACCTAGGCAAGCAGCTTTATCTGTTTCCTTGCCCCCAAAAGAGCTCCACACTGAGACGTTCGTTGATGAAATAAATCCGTTGACACGTCAAGATGCAGCACGCTTACGCAGAGGCTTGCCGCTGACAAAATACGATGCTTTCGTGCTGTACGCGGAGCCTGATCAGCATTACGCTAATGAAATGCAACAAAAATTGGAAAAATATACCGAATTTAACTTTGAGGCAAGTAAAATAGGGGAAAACAGTAAAAAAAAAAACTTGGTAAATTGTAATAAAAACTATCTGCTATTGCAGCTTGTCTTTAAGAATCGTGATTTGCTCGGTGGCACCTTCTTTCACGATGCTGTTACGGAGCTAATGGAAGAGCGCTGCAAATATGTATTATTGATTATAACCCAGCATTTTAGCAAAGATTTTGAAAGCTGCTTCTTTTTCAATAATGTGCAATCGCTGCAATTGAGTAAATATGCGCATTTAGATTTCAAATGTATACTCTTAACTTTTTTCCCTATTATATAAATTTTTTCAGATGAAAATCGCCGAAGGATCATACCTTTACTATATGATTTACATTTACCGCGCGCGCTGCGTGGACTGCATACTTTGAAGTATCGTAGTGAACATTTTTGGGATCTTCTGACAGATTCTCTAAGCGTGGAAGTACCACCTTTACTCATAAAAGTCACTGAGCATAAGAAGTATGTATAACTTAAAAACAATGCATGCAAATAAGACATACATATTATGTATGTCTATTTAATTTTTTAGCACCAACGCAGCACTTGGAAATCTACCAAAACCACCAGACTCACCGATTGCCGTTGAAGAGCAGAAAGTAAAAAACAAAACAACAGATAAGCAAGCAGGCAAAAAAAAGTTTTTGAAAAAGCCCGATTGGATTAAAAAGAAGAAAGTACAAAAATGAGCAAAAGAGTGCCTTTAGCGTTACTTACGCGCATTACTTGCCATGTTTTACAACCAAAAATATACACAAATACTTATATATGTACTTAGGCATTGAGATTAGCTGCTTTTATATGATTATATTCTTACCTCATTTTTCAAATTTGTCTATTAAAGACTTTTACATAGAGAGTAAAAGGCCCTTTTGTTGTTGCAAAGTGTACTTACATTTCTCATAGTTTTAGAGCAAAATATCGAATTATCTGTATGTACTTAAATATTGTTCGTAATTAAAGGTTTTTAAAACTCCTGTTGCTTGTTTGGGAAATGAGAAATTTTGACTAAGTATAATTTTTAGGATCCAACCAGCATGCGCATGGCGTTTTAGGGATACACATTTTTTGGTGCGTTTAAAGAAAAAATAAGGGCACCTGGACCACACTGGAGAAGTGAAACTTAGGTTACATATCTTGCTTTACTCATAACCAATATTCATACATTAATACATGTGTATGTACATATACATTTCTTAAGGTTATATTTTATCTTTTTTCTATCTAGATTTTTACCTCTACCCTTTTCGTTTTAATTACATTTATGTTTTCCTTTATCCTAATTTTTATCTTTATACTCAATTGTTCTTATAAAAGTAAAGTGTTTAAATTTACCTTGGTTGTTGTTGTTGTTATAGTGGCTACAACAACCCCGCCCAGATCGGTTGATATCTTAGTCGTTATCGTCATGTTCCACTAACGGCAGCCCTAGGAAGCGTTCAGCTTCCACCGGGTCGGCCCACAGGGACAAAGCCGTTAGGGTTGTCGGGTTTTCCGGGCATGTGAAGAGATGTTTCGAGTCATGTGGGGCATCTCCGCATGCCGGACACTCATTTGGCACATCTGCATTCAGTCTACTCAGGTATGAATTTAACCTGCTGCAGTAGCCAGAGCGAAGTTGGGCTATTGTTGTTCTTGTCTCCCGAGGCAGATGAAGCTCCGTCTTGTCTATGTCCGGTGGTGGTGTGCCTAAAACGGCATTCACAGGTCTAGAGTCTACATAACTCGAGACTGATTCCCTGTGAATGCCGTTCAGGGCCAGTCGGTAAGCTGACGAGCCAGAGGCTGCTTGATGAACCTCGGAACTTCGTCCGTCTGTTCGGGTGGCCACTTCTGTGGCTCCCGATCAGAAACTGCTTGCAGAGCATTATGTTGTGCTCCTTAATTGGGAGCATTTGTGCCTCGTTGTGGAGGTGATGTTCTGGCGACATCAGGAGGCATCCAGTCGCTGTCCTGAGTGCGGTGTTCTGTACTGTCTGTAGCTTCGTCCACTGCGTCCTACTAGTCCCCGGCGACCACACTGGTGCTGCGTAGTTTAAAACCTTTACCTTGGTCTTCATCTTTGTTTTGTATCTTTCATATCTTTGCTTTTATCCTTTTCTCCATCTACATATAATAAGATAAGATGCTATGTGATGTGATGTCAGCTAATGCGATGCGATGCGATTTCATGTGACGACGAGCGACGAGTAAAGTGATGTGATAGGATGTCATGTCCCTGCAAAAATCGTTGGACCATGTAGTCTATTTGTGGTAGATTGGAGTACTTACAAAAGTGTTCCTCTGTCATGCTGTAGCGGACCAACTCGTGTCTCTGCGCCAGCTTATTGTTTGTTATCCGATCACTGCTCGTGTTTTAACGAAACGTGATTGAATATGAGCATTTGAAAGCAAATTTGCATGTCTGGCTGTAGCTGAACGTGTAGAGATGCTCGCTGTTAGTTCTTAGCTCCCAGCATGTTCGGGTTCGAATGCCGTCAGTGGCAACATGTAATTTTTAAATTTGTCTTNGTCATGCCAAATGATGTCATATCATATGATGTTCTGTCACATCATGTGTATCGATAACAAAACCTATAAAATTATCGATAAAGAATTCGGTAAAATTATAGATAGCAAAATCTATAACAACACCGACAATAAAATCGATATCCAAATCGTTAAAATCATCGATTATTATATCGATAAATCCCGAGAATACCGAAAATCCCAAAATAGTCCCGAGGTTGAGGATCTGTTTCTATCTATATCCTTTTTTTATAATTCCCTTTATTTTAATCTTTTTTCCTCTATATTTTTACTTTTATCGGTATCCTCATCCTCATCTTTTTCTTAATATTTATCTTTGCTTTTACCTTTACGTTTATCAGTTTCTTCATCTCTATATTCCCCTTCACCTTTACCCTTATATGAAAAAAGTCAAGGCATATCAAACAGGTAGTAGTAGCATTAGAGCAAAAACAACATTTGCGTTTATTTTCCCTGCAAACCAAAGTTCCCGAAATCTTAAGGAAATCGTTAGGAGTATCTCATTTCTGTAATGATCTTTTACGAATTTTCAAAGAAAATTATATGAAGTGATTGACACGAACTCGTAAAGAAATTTCTGTACGAAAAATAAAGAAAATTCTGGAAAAATTCTGAAAGATATTCTTCACATAGCAGCATTATTTTCGTTGCTTCACAGATTTTCTTCCGAAATTTCGTAAAAGAATGGAACTGTGCGTAATTTATTTCATTTTAGAAAATTCGGCAAAAAATCGAATTAAATCTTAACGAATTCTTTAAAATTTCTTTACAATGCAGAATACTCCGAAAAAATGGTTTGCAGGGTTGTTGTTGCTGAAACACTTCTCAAACATAGGAAATGTTAACACTGACCATTGTAAGTTGTGCAGCGAAGTATAGGAAACAGCAGTGCATATTATGTGCCACTGTGCAGCCTTCACCAGGACCAGACTTCGCTTATTAGGATCACCGTACCTAGAAGCACACGACCTAGATGGCACTCAGCCAAAAGACCTCGCGAGGTTTCTTAGCAGTACGTGGATCAAAGACGACCTGTAGTTGCTTTGCTGCGAATTGTGGTTGCTGTTGTTGCAAAAATACCGGCTATTAATTCACAATTCCTATGAATGCGATTTTATGCAGTTAAATTTTAATTTTTTTATTTTTATTTTAATTCTTTATTTTTATTTATTTCATTAATGAAAATTATTCATTCTTAATGTGTTTTTAATAATAATGATAATCATAATAATAATCTTTGTAATCATAATGCTTATAACTAAATTAATACAACTTTTTCCATTTAGTTTTTTATCTCATTAAATTACTATTTTCATCATTTCTCTCTTACGCTTCACTTAACTTTCTTTCTTAGTTTTTTCTTTGTTTTGTTTTGCTGCTTTAACTTGAACTTTATCTGCTTTTTGCTACTACTTCTGCTTTGCTACGCTTACTATTATTATTATTATTATTATTACGTTTTTTTCATAACTTCGGCATGCCTTCCATTAATGACTCAACAAAATTAATAAAAACAATTTAATTGATCAATTTTTTTTTTATTTAATTACAATAATATGCTAGTTCTTTTTTTGATGCAGTTTTTGTTGATTTCTTTTAATCCACTTTCATTAACTTTTTGCGCTTTTTGCTTATAAACTAATGCTATGTCTTCATTTTACAGAATTTAGTTTTACTAGTTTCATTTCATTTTCTGTATGCATTTCATTTTCTGTATGTGTTTGCGATTTGCTGCTGTGTTTTATTTTGTTCGTAAAGTGTAATGTTGTTTGTGGATAATAAAAATGATTTTCATTGTATTTTTTATCATTATTATTATGTTTCTATTATTTTATCATTTTATAAACTTATTGTATTTGTTAAATATTTTTAGACTTTGCATGTTTATTTTTTTCCAATTTGCCAATTTAGTTTCTTTTTTTCATTAACAATTTATAATTTTTTAACCTTTGCACAGTTTTTTACATAATTTCAAATCTCTATTTTTTCAATACTTTTATATTTTTTTTTCCTTTTAAACCCTATTCAACTTTTACTTATTTGCTTTACTTAAATGATTGCATTCATACCGCGACAGAACTAAATATGTATGTATTTATGATTCATGTCAATTCTTTATTAGATTTTTTTTATGTCTGTATGTACTATATATATTTTTTTAATTCAATTGTTTTTCTTAATTTTTATAATTCACAATTTTATTACTTTTCTTTTGTATTTATTTTCTTCCGATATTTTTATGTGTTTACCGGCGCTTAGAGTCTACAAAAACTACTCTTATATTTTCACGCATTATTTGGAAGGTGTGGAGGTGAGTTTATGGGTGAGTGGGGTTAGCGGTTAAGTGAATCGTGGTTAGTGTATGTGGGAATGTTTATTGTGTTAAGAAGTGCGACGACGGTTATTGGGCGAGTATTTTTTTTTTTATTTTAGTTAATGTGAAAGGGATTGACTTGTTATTTAATTATTGTTTAGGAAATTTATTTCCGCGTATAAATCCCAAATTTTCCTAAAGTTCGAGCTACGGCAAAGGTCGGTTCAAAGCATTTTAGTTCGAAAGGTTTTTAAAACAGTTACTAAAAATATTGAAAAGCGAGGCTTTTGAAATTGAGGCCTTCTCTTTCTCATTGGATCTTCACGGCGATAGTCAGTCCGATACTGTTCCAATTTTTTGGCATTTGAGTGGGAAAAATTTCTTAAAAGAATAGAAAGTGTATATTGGCTATCAATGATCGGCATGACAGGACGTGGAGCTCAGACCAGAGAAATCCTATAAGCAGGTGAGTCTCTAAATCGACAGTCAGGCTGCGATAAAGGAGCTACAATCGCACAGCGCTTCCTCCAAAAGTGTAGCGTAGTGCAGCGCAGCTCTGGGGCACATGAAGCTCACGAAGTTTCGTCTTTGCCTCAAGAGGCAGGACGTTAGGCTACTGTTGGGTGTCCTAACTGGATATTTCCTGCTGGCATCGCACGTCTTTGAACTCGATCTTACTAATGATAGGATTTGCAGAAGATGCAGACCGAAAGAGTAGACAGTGAAGCCTCTCGTCTGCGAGTTTTCTGCCCTTAGTCTGCTGAGAGCAGGTTTTCTACCTAATCTGGAAGCCGCCTTCGGATATAACAAGGTGTTTCAGTTTGCCAAGAGGACTGCGATGTTTTTCAACATTTGGTCGAAGCTTATCTGATAACGCTATGGACCTTAATGGTCTCTGCGAAGCGACACAGTGGCTGGCCAACATACCTAAACTAACCTAATCCTACCTATTGCTGATCATTCTAGCTATCTCCTCAAGTCGTCTGCTATCTTATTGCAGGTATACCATTGCTCCGCGGGACCCTAATTGACTATATGTTGTCGAAGAGATTGCAGGAGTCCTCGTAATGCTTATCGCATTAGACGTTCTTCAGCCAAACACGTTCCCGTTCCAATTCCCGTTCAAATGCCCAGT